TCTCATAAATCATTCGTTTTGCGGGTCGTATTTGTTATATACAAGAGAATGATAAGAGGTTTAACAACTGATGGAGGTGGCTTGTTAAACTAATACCGTCCTTCGGCTTATCAGTTTTGCATTTAGGTGTGTTTTTTAGTTCTTTGTTAGGACCGACAAATGGTGTTCCGTATTCCTATTTTTACACTGTTGTGATTTTCTCGATAAATTTAGTATTTTGCCATTGCTTTCTAAACGCTTGACTCTCGGTACTACTGATGAAACCAACTCAGGACGGTCTGCTGTCAAAAAAGCCCTCACCTGGCACCCCATCATTATGAAGCGTGTCGCACTGTATTTGATGAATATGTTTCTTCATATAGTGTGCGGATCGGAAGGTCGTGGGTTCGCTCCCTGGCGGAGCCGGACTTTTTTTTCTTCAAAAATGACCTTGACTCCCAGGTCGACCTAACCTCGAGAGGATACCGGGTGCAGTCCCTGGAAGTAAAGACGGCTGGCGTGATGCTGACCACATCACCCATCTTGTGCCGATTGGTCTATACAAAATATAGTTCTAGCCCTTATGCCCTATACGCCTAAAGGAAAAGGAACCTTTACTTTTGCTTTTATTTTTTCGTCTAGTTTGTGTGTATGTGAGTGTGTGTGTGTGTGTGTGTGTGTGTGTGTGTGTGTGTGTGTGTGTGTGTGTGTGTGTGTGTGTGTGTGTGTGTGTGTGTGTGTATCCCCAGTTGTGTCTTTCCGTTTCCTTTAATTACTTTCATTCTCAAGTAACTTTATCGAGTGTCCCCATTCCTTGTTTGTTACTACGTGCCCACCCCTGCCCCACTCACCCACCGCCTCCCGTAACCCTGCGGTAAAAACATTACAGCTTTATCTGCACGTCTGTTAACACATTTCCTGCTCTGTACCTCGCTCCAACCACTCCAGGCGTGCAAGTTCAGAGTGCAATGCTCCATTGCCCCTGATTTATATCTTCCTAAGAAATGTCAGACGGATGAGATAAAGAAACCAGAGAGAGAGAGAGAGAGAGAGAGAGAGAGAGAGATAGAGAGAGAGAGAACGAGCTTATGTTTGCATTAATGCACAGTTCGCCGGGTTGCTGCACATGTCGGAGACCAGGTCTGTGGGTTGCATGACCTTAGATAAAACACACATCTCCAGATCGCACCCCTTCCCCAAGTGTAGCCGCGGAGAGTGGCGCAGCCTTCTTACAAACACCATCTGTTTCTTAGCAGGCGTTATTCGCGCTCTGACCCTTTCGCTACGTCGTCAATACAAACAGCACTGAATCCAGCAAGTCATAAATAACAAGCCAATTCTCGTCAATAATGGATTTGGCCTAAAATAAACGAATGCAGTTCAACTAAACCATCCCAATGATTCAACAGTTCTGTGAAAAGCCGCCGGTGCTTATACAGAGGTCTACATTCTTTAGCAGTCAGAATAACATACTCCCCATAATTTTGCTGCCCCATTTTGGGAAGGAAACGCTAAAGAATCACTGCACCCACCCCCCCCCCCCCACCCCTCAACAAGCATTTCGTAAACGGCAAGTAGTTAAGGGTTTGTTAAAATCGGATGTTTTGAGTGACAGCCTCAAATATCGCAGCCAAGCTGTAAATTACGACACAGCGAGCCTACTGTCCTATTAACGGAGGACGCAGACGAAGAATAAGAAAAGGAAGAGGCAGAAAAAGGCAGAAAAAAAAGAAGAAGAAGAAGCAGAAGAAAAAGAAGAAGAAGATAAAAGAAGAAGAAGAAGAAAAAGAAGAAAAAGAAAAAGAAGAAGAAGAAGAAGAAGAAGAAGAAGAAGAAGAAGAAGAAGAAGAAGAAGAGAAGAAGAAGAAGAAGAAGAAAAAGAAGAAGAAAAAGAAGAAATAGAAGAAAAATAAGAAATAGAAGAAGAAGAAGAAGAAGAAGAAGAAGAAGAAGAAGAAGAAGAAGAAGAAGAAGAAGAAGAAGAAGAAGAAGAAGAAGAAGAAGAAGAAGAAGAAGAAGAAGGCACAAAAACAAGAAGAAGAAATAAAAGAAAAATAAGAAATAGAAGAAGAAGAAGAAGAAGAGGAAGAAGAAGAAGAAGAAGAAAAAAAAGAAAAAGAAGAAGGCACAAAAGGGAGGAGGAGGAGAAGAAGAAAAAGAAGAAGAAGAAGAAGAAGAAGACAGAAGAAGAAGAAGAAAAAGGAGAAGAAGAAGAAGAAGAAGAAGAAGAAGAAGAAGAAGAAGAAGAAGAAGAAGAAGAAGAAGAAGAAGAAGAAGAAGAAGAAGAAGAAGAAGAAGTCACAAAAAGGAGGAGAAGAAGAAGAAGAAGAAGAAGAAGAAGAAGAAGAAGAAGAAGAAGAAGAAGAAGAAGAAGAAGAAGAAAAAGAAGAAGAAGAAGAAGACAGAAGAAGAAGAAGAAAAAGGAGAAGAAGAAGAAGAAGAAGAAGAAAAAGAAGAAGAAGAAGAAGACAGAAGAAGAAGAAGAAGAAGAAGAAGAAGAAGAAGAAGAAGAAGAAGAAGAAGAAGAAGAAGAAGAAGAAGAAGAAGGCACAAAAAGGAGAAGAAGAAGAAGAAGAAGAAGAAGAAGAAGAAGAAGAAGAAGAAGAAGAAGAAGAAGAAGAAGAAGAAGAAGAAGAAAGAAAAGAAAAATAAGAAATAGAAGAAGAAGAAGAAGAAGAAGATGAAGAAGAAAAAGAAGAAGAAGAAGAAGAAGAAGAAGAAGAAGAAGAAGAAGAAGAAGAAGAAGAAGAGGAAGAAGAAAAAGAAGAAGAAGAAGAAGAAGGCACAAAAGGGAGGAAGAGGAGAAGAAGAGGAAGAAAAAGAAGAGGATGAAAAAGAAGAAGAAGAAGGCACAAAAAGGAGGAGCAGGATGAGAAGAAGAAGAAGAAGAAGAAGAAGAAGAAGAAGAAGAAGAAGAAGAAGAAGAAGAAGAAGAAGAAGAAGAAGAAGAAGAAGAAGAAAAGGAATATCAATCACTCCTGTGGCTAAGATACAAACATTGTATAGACTGAGTCTGCATTTAGACGGAGTAACATCTTTAAAAACATGTCCCGCTCCTTGGGGCTTCGAATTCATAACCTCGGGGCGGGTAGACAAGCTTGTTGGCTACAGCATCAATTATGTACTCAGATGTTAATGTCTTGTGCCAGTTTTGACATAGCTGACTAGTCTTCCGTTTGCATAAATCTACTGCAGGTCTCGCTGTAAATGTGCTGTAGTTGCGTAAGTTGTATTTCCTTGACATTCTTTACCGCTTTTGTGTGCCAGTTAGTCTGTTCATAATCCCAGCAGACGGTCACATTCTCCTTTGCCGTCAGGCGCGGCTACTTGAGTAGGCACCATCGGATTCATTTACTTTTTGTCAACGTCCTGACTACAAGCACAGGCGTTGTCATACAGTAGGTAATAAACAGGCGGGCAAGCCGTAAGGCTGTTAATAGACAAATTTGACTGACAGCCATATCAAGACGATTGTTTAACAGTCTATGGCGTGTGGCGTTGGTAGCCATGTCTATCCAGAACCTTCTGTCTCGTGTCAATCAGTTCGGACACAGGTGCTTTTCCATGCCATGATGTCAAAAATACATCTAATTTTATTGCAGACACCTTCCCTATTTAATCGTCCCCATATGGGATGGCATTTTTTGTTATTTGAAGCGCCACCCTGGCTTCTGGCGGGGGGCCCTGAATATAGCTGGGCCATAAATATGGCCTAAGCCCTTATGCAATAGATATGGCCAAACGGCTGGAAGGGGTTCCTGGGACCTCTCCACGGGTGATCCTCATCTGCGGCACTTTGTGTCACCGGGTGTTTATCGCTTATGTGATGTCCTGGTGGGATAAAACTTCCTACCTACCTACATGGTGCCAAACTGTGCAGCTTCTTCTGTCTCCATCTCCATCTGCCTCTTTCCCTCTCCAACTTCTCCAGTCACGTTGTACTTTAGTTTTCTCCTTCTCATGCGATGACCAAAGAATGAAGATTGTCTCCTTCCGATGGGCGCAATCAGTCCTCTTTGTTGGTCGGTTTCTTACATCTTCATTACTCTTTTTTAATCAGTCAATTGTGTTCTCTTCATTCGTTTCTAAAACCACATCTCCGTCGCTCCTAAATAATTTTTTTTATAGAGTACAAGTGCTCAAGAATCATGGGTATTCATGTCCATTCATAAGCGCACAGTAGTAATAATAATAATATGAATACGAATAAGAATAAAAATAATATTAGTAATACGATATAAAGATGTGTGCAAGTGGGACATAAATGATACAGGTATTGAGGTAGATTCATAGACACAAAATACCAGTGACCGTTGTTTCTTGGCGGTGTAACATCAGGAAGCGGAGAGGAAATCATGACCACAGAAGAGGCTGGGCTCTGAGCGTCTGAAGGGAAACACATTAAAGACATGTGTTAGCAACACCGGTCCTGAAATTCCGTGCTCTCATTGGGGAAGATTTTTTTAAACACGGGCGGGTCTTGCTGGTCACAATCGCCATCGCCATGGGTTGTGATTCCCATGCCTCCCTGCAGCATAATATAACATTGTTGTCTGGGAAGGTGGATAGGTGCTAACTAACTAACTAACTAACTAACTAACTAACTAACTAACTAACTAACTAACTAACTAACTAACTAACTAACTAACTAACTAACTAACTAACTAACTAACTAACTAACTAACTAACTAGCTAACTAGCTAACTAGCTAGCTAGCTAACTAACTAACTAACTAACTAACTAACTAACTAACTAACTAACTAACTAACTAACTCATGAATTGTATGAAATGTTAGACTAGCATCATGTGTCTAATACGCATTAAGGCGTGAAAATGGATTCTTACATACATATTTAGTGTTGCCATTGGATGTTTTCAGATAGTATTTGATCTGTTGCAACTAATGTTGTTAATTGCGTATCTTAATTAATGAACTTAAATTACTATATTAACACAACAAATGTAAACTTCCTAACCATTGAAACTTTTTCTTTTTTGTTTTCCCCTCATGGTTCTGAAGCTGTACAGAGAGGTCGAATCCCGCCAAGCCAGCATCCGTTCCACGCGCAGATGGCCTTCCACAACGGTGACCCATTAAACGGACACACCTACCTGTCTAGTTTTATCTCCATGCTTCTTCGGGCAGAGCCTTATCCCACGTCCAGGTACGGCAATTGCATGCAGCAGCCGAATATTATGGGCATCGAAAACATCTGCGAGCTGGCTGCCCGACTGCTGTTTTCCGCTGTGGAATGGGCCAGGAATATACCGTTCTTCCCTGAACTGCAAGTCACCGATCAGGTGGCGCTTCTCCGACTGGGCTGGTCCGAACTGTTTGTGCTCAACGCTGCTCAGTGTTCAATGCCGCTTCATGTGGCCCCTTTGCTGGCCGCTGCAGGTCTGCACGCATCTCCCATGGCAGCAGAACGAGTGGTGGCTTTCATGGACCACATACGAATTTTTCAAGAACAAGTAGAGAAGCTCAAGGCGTTGCACGTAGATTCAGCTGAGTACAGTTGTCTCAAGGCTATTGCTCTTTTCTCCTCTGGTGAGTACTTGAAATCAGTGTGGTGTTTGCTTTATGTTGGCGTTGCTTTTAAAATCTCAGTCTGTTCTTCTTCGTGTGGGTTCTCCGGCTGCATTGTGGGGGGGGGGGGGGGGGGGAAGAGTAGAGCCACCGCCTCTCTAAGAAGCATATCGTAGAAATCGACTGATTGGGGGGCAGTCTTTGAAATCAAAGTAGATCGGCCTGAGAGGCAAGGAACTAAGAGTCTGCATACAAATAAAACAGATCTGTGAAACCGATGTGCACTCAAAACTCAGGTTCTGGAACAATACTTAAGTCTAGAGGTGAACGAGCATCCAAAACATTCCGCCGGAGTTTACAGCCGGTGAACATGAAGAAGAAGAAAAAGGAGCTTATGTTTTCGGCTGACTTAGGTTTGAATCCTCACTTAGTTTAATTTAAGAAAGAAAGACGATAACACATTACGCACAAATATCGGCACAATAACTAACAACTGATAATTTATAACTCATTTTCCAAACAATTATGTTGAGGTTACTAGTAACAGCAGATAAGCTGGCTATGAAAGCACATAGGGCTGGGGAATCAGCTAGAGAAAGAGTTACTTTCAGGTGTGCTGTGATGAGAGCGACGTTCTGTAAAGGATCTGCTGGTTGGTAGGGGATGACCAGCAGGTGTATGTTAATTTCTCAACACTACCTGCACCAAAACTCTAACGGTCTACAGTTTAAAATCCAGTTAACCAACACCGCCTGTACTCTAAGCCAGTGTTTTTCAACCTGTGTACGCCCGCGGACCTGTAAAAGAAGTTTAATTTTGTCGCCGTCCACCTGATACCTAACACCGGAAAGCAAAAATATAGATTAAAATTTATTCGTTAAATCAGTGATGGCGACATCAGCTGCTGCTGCTGCTGCTGTTGTTGCTTAGAGATCAAAAATTATGCAGCAGTGCAGTGCGTGAATCACATAGTTGCTACCAGATTGCTCATACATGTTTGGGGAATTCACTAAGGTGCATAGCTATTTAACTGGCGGAACGCGGGCTAAATATGGTCCCGCGAAGGCCTTGGAAATGGCTCTCGGATCTCGGATCAGGCCTCTGCCGCATGACCATCCAGATTTTCACAATTTGGCTCCTGTGTAAACTTGGTAAAAAAAAAAAAAAAAAAGTGTTAAAGTTGGGAGATATGAACCAGCGTCACCGCACACGGTTATAAACCATAAGTGCTCTGCCACCAGTACGGACAGCTGATAAGAAACTGTCCGCCTGTGTCGCCGCCCGCACGCAACTCCGTAGCTACAGCTACGTTCCTCCATTTACCCCAGAGTGTTAACTCTGGTACCCACTACCTAGAAATTAGGTGAGCCCCGGGAACCGCCCGGTTTCGAACACCGACTCTGGGCTGCAGCGAGTCGCAGCTGGATAGCTTAGTAAACAGCCATGCATGGCATTTCTGGGGCCCATTGGTGGTCATGGAAAATGCCGCCCAAGAACACACACGCTAAGCCAAACAGCTGATCGAAAGAACACGCTAAGCCCAACAGCTGATCGAAAGAACAGGCTAAGCCCAACAGCTGATTGCGTAAGCCGCTCTCTTTAAACTACCCAGCACTTTCAGTACATCGGTGAGCCTAAATCTGGATTCCGTAAGACACGGTACGTTAACTACCGAACACCAGGTCCGTTAACTCTACCGGCGCTAATTGTCGACGACTGCCGCCTGCAGGGGCAACTCAAGAACAGCGCACGATCTTGCAGGTTAATGACTAATTTGTTGCTTGCAGTGATTAACTTTGGCTATTTTAATTTATGTCTGGAGATGACAAGCCTCGGTTATTGGTGAGCTGAAATCTGGCTTCATTAAAGAAAATAGCGGTCTCACGCTGTCTCTTGTGATTAGATGAAATGTAATAGGAACAAAACTTAAGAGTTAATTACAAGAGAGAGAGAGAGAGAGAGAGAGAGAGAGAGAGAGAGAGAGAGAGAGAGAGAGAGGCGAGAGAGAGAGAGAGAGAGAGAGGCGATAGCGAGCGAGGGGGGGGGGGGGGGGAGGGGAGGGGAGCGCTGTAAATTTGATTAACTATAGTATTATGTACATGTTATAATTAATCATTAATCATCCTAATTAAAATGGTTCTGTAACATATTCTGTAATTATTATGTAACCTCATGCTGTGAGCGGCTCTACCTCAGGCTCACAGTGTTCTGTAACAGTACTGGCCATTGATCCAGGCACTTGTTTCTAGGCTCTACTGCAAAGAGAGGTGCTGCAGATATTTGATAAGTCCTTGTTGTCGTATGCAAACAGATCTGTACCTAGTGTCACAGTGGTAGATAACCCAGACGGTTGAATCACTATATCTTCTACTACTTCTTTGCGTTCACCAGCTGTAAACTCTGGTCGAAAGTTCTGGTTGTTTGTCCACTTCAGGACTGCAGTCCTGTTCCAAGAACCGGAGTGTTGCGTGTGCATCCGTTGGACAGATCTGACACATCTGTGTGCAGACTGTTGATTCCTTGCCTCTCCGGTAGATGCACTCCGATTTGGAAGGAAGCTCCCAATTAGTCGACTCTTACGACATGCTTGGGTAGGCAGCGGGTCTATTCTTGTTTTCCCTATAATAGGGACCCGGAACCCACACGGGGGGAATCACTGTATCGAATCCGTGTTCATGGGAGGGCTTGGTGTCATATGGGGGAAAAAGGGGGGGGGGGGGTGGAACAGGACGACAATTCAACATGAAAAAAAACACACAGTATATTTGGGAGTGGAGGGGGGAAAAAAAAGGGGTTGGGGGGGGGGGGGGTTAAAGGCGGACATACTTCGGTACTGACGTTGTTTAGGTGTCACTGTGTATGTGGGTGATGGCGCTTGTGTGAGTATGTGTATGTGAGGTTGTCTCTCAATCAGTACGTGTCTGTCTGTCAGTGGGTATGTATCTGAGAGTATATACCTAAGGTCTTTTCAGTTAACAGCACGATTAAGAAAAATCAGGCTCCATGCAGATTTGAACCCACCACCTTCGAGCATCTATCCACTTCAGCACGACGGTACTCAATAATAATAATAATAATATTGGTAGTAATAATGGAAATAATAATGGCAGTAATAATTATTATCGAGTATTAGACTTCGCAAGACAAAAGAACCCGAAGAAGAAATAAACAACACAAGTGAGCTATTCGAATCTCTACAGGAATCATAATTGCTTCTAGTTCTCATTGTTAGATTCTCCTTCAGTAACTGAAGATTTGGTTCGTGCCTTCATCAGCATTTTTAAGTGGTCGAGTTTGTAGCTTAGCTTAAACTTCAAACATTTCAGTACTGGGAAACTCCGGTACCAACTAAGCACTACCTGACACATATACATCCATCGTCTCTATGACTTTCGTCAATCGTTCGGACACGTTTCTGCGTTTATTCAGCATATTTTCGTTTTGAAACAGCAGACGTTGAAAGACCACTTAATTTCTCAAAGTACTTTTTGAAAAGATCGCTAACTTGGCTACTTCTACCGACTACTCCGAGGACCCTGTCTCTATTCTCCTGTCATTCCTTCATTTCAAACAGAGGGAAAGAACACTCATGTTGCCGGTAACATGTCTCCTCGCCACTAGTTTTGCTTGCTGTTGCACTTCATTGATCTCGCTTGGCAGGACACGTCATAGTTTTTCCCTTTCTTTCTCACTTAACGAACTTCTGTTAAAGAACGGAGGCATAATTAGCATAAATGGCAGTAAACTCTCGTCCAATCAGATTGTGTTTCGTGTCCCGTTATTTATAAACTCCTTTTGTCTAAAATAGCACGACCTAGACCTTAAAATATATTGTTTGAATGACTGCTTCTGTGAAGACGTTCATTTTCCAGTGAGTGTTAAACACTTTGTAACCTTTGACTTTGAATATATAGAAGTTTAAAAATCTGAACAACAATAGTTTTGAAAAATATAATAAAACATGCGGATTGGGGTGGGGAGTGGGAGGAGGGGCGAATTTTGATCTGAAACAAAGAAACAAAACAGAATACGTGTATATATAGATCGACGCCACTCACGACTTAGCCCAAGATCGATTTGAAAATGGCAGATTGTTGGGAAAGAGACGACGGGAAAGTAGTAGCTGCAGTTTGAAAAAAGTTAATATGCACACATGAAGTACAAGCATTTATTTATGAACAAACTAAAAATATATACAGGAAAGCTTGACAGTTATGGAAACATAAGAGAAATTAGCGCATTATATTCATATTTTCGCCTGCACTAAAAGGCACTGTGGAATTAATGTTGTGATCTAGCAGGTACTTTGAATATCTAGGCTCAATAATAAACAGCAATGGAGACTGTTCAACGAAAATTAATAGGAGGATGGCCATAGCAATGCAAATATTGAACAGCCTTAAAAGTCTATGGTTAAGCACCAGCAAGGAGATACAAATTAGGATTGTGAGAGCATGCATCTTCCCTGTGACTACATACAGATGTGAGTAGTGGACCATCTCTCAGTCCTAAGAAAGAGAATAGGGGCTTTTGAGCTGAAATGTTATAGAAAGATTCTCAGAATATCTTGGACAAAGAAGATGAGAAATATTGACTGACATCTTAAAAGATCTGAATATCAAGGAAGATTTGCTAATAAACAGCATTCTTTCTCAAAAGCTGAAATATTTTGGTCATATCAAGCGCCACGACGGATTGGAACAAATTAAAGCAGAAGGCATGGTACCAGGACGGAGGGGCAGGGGCCAACCGAGACGAAGATGGGCACAGGATATAAGTGACTCCTTGAGTGTGAAAGTGCATGAGGCGGGAGAACTGGCGAGAGACCGAGTTTCATTTAGGCAGATTGTGATGAGAGCGACGTTCTGCAAAGGACCTGCTACATGATGATGAGGATGATGATGATGACCTAGCAGATCTGACATTCAGACAACTATATTTCTTCCCGGTCATGGGTGGCCAACATTTGTAGCTCTGAGGACCAATAAACGTAAAATTAGGACAATAGAGAGATGAAGTGC